TAATTGGTTGTAGCAAAGTATAAATTGATTTTTTGAGAAAGTTTGTAGAATGAACTTGAGATATAGTTGTTGGGTAAATATCTAAAATTGGTTAAGAGAGTAAGAGTTTAGTTAAAAATTCTCAATTCAAGTCTTTGTGATAAATTCTATTCTTGAAATTTGTCTTGTGTTTTGATTTTTAGAATAATTCATTTGTTTTCGAATTATTCTTTGATATGTGATATTAATGATTATTCAATCATTTTATATTATTAGATTCTTCGAAGCGAGCAACTCTATCTCGGTAATTTTGACTTCGTTCGATCATCCAATTGTACTCGTAAGTGAAAAATATATATTATAACATGTTTTTAAGTTCCTTTGATATTTTTTTCCTACATCATTGTTTTAAATATGTTAAAATCACATATATTAGAACTTAGATGGAAATGAATTTCTTGTGTATTTAAAATGAAATGACATTGAAAATGATTTGATATAATTCTAAAAAGAGGTTGATTAGGATTTTTGAATAAGTATTTTACTTAAAGTTTGATTTAATGCTATGAATTTATTTACTAGTTTGATTGAGATTTTTTATTTTGATTTATTCATATAATTTTAGTAAGGATTTGATTTATAATTTTGAATATGAATTTGTATTTGAGCTTAGATTAATAGTATGATATTTGATATTTAATTGCTTTATTAAATTTAATTTTGAGCAAGACTTGTGTTTGGATATGTTAGTTTTGAATTTTTAGAATATATGTGAGATTATTTGATTTTTGATTTGATTGATTACCTTATTGTACCTAGCTACGAAAGGCGTGGCATGTGAGCTCACCGATACGAAAATCCTCCAGCTAGCAAGAGAGGTGTAGTGCTAGCTCGTGTATCAACCAACACGTGGTATACCTAGCTACTAAAGGCGTAGCTTTTGGATGCTTGCGTCAAATGATACAATATGATTTGATCATCCGAGGTGTAGATTTTCGATACTTGATATGCTTTAATTAATTATATGTGTTTTGATATCATATTTTGATTATGAGTTGAATGACTTTGAAAATATAAGATATGACTTGATATTTAAAATATCCATTTGATTTTGAGAAATACGCATTACTTCTTGAGTAGGTTTTGCATTATCATCCATTTGTCCGTTTTCCTTCTTATTTATGTTAAATGTTATATACTCACCGATATGTTGTTTTGCTCACATCTTACTATTTCGGTTTTGCGGGGTTTATAAGAATTTATGTTGACTTCCTCGAACCATTCTCTTGAAGCCGACACATTAATCATGCAACTTATTTAATTGTAATATTTTGAACTACATTTTGAGATTGTTGTAAATTTTAGAAGCCCCGCAATTATATTGTGGGAATTGTAGTAGGTTGTTAATTGTTATGTTGTATAAGTATTGTAAATTTGGATGTGATATTGACTAATTAGGTTGTTAACCATGGAACTATAAATTGAGATGAAATTAAGAAGTATTGATTCAATTAATATGTGATATTGTGAGTTGGATATGATAAGATATCTTAATTACTATAGGTTTGATAATTATGGTTTAAGTATCCGAAGCTTGCTTGAGTCGAGATGGATCCTATGACTCCCTCGATTCTCGCATCAATCATGGTTCATTTCGAGAGTTGTGACAATATTGGTCCCGTTAATTATCGTTATGCAATAGAAAACCAAATTAATCAATTTCCCTACTAATTACAACTATATAATAGTGAATTCAATCAATAGATAAAAAAAAGAAAAAGAATTACATAGAAATTACAATCAATAAAAAAGATAACTCTTTATAAAGAGAATGTTATAATTTTGTGCTCTATGAGTTACTGCTGACAAAAGGCTACGGTAATATAACCCAAATCCAAACTCTTTTAGGAGGTCCAGAAGCTTGTTATTGCTGAATCAAACCCGCGCTTGCAGTCCAGCCCTCTAATATACTATACCACAACATTTATTTTTCTTATAATATATTAAGACATTTATCTTACACCTTAATAAGGTATAGTTTCAAAGTATTATTAAGGAGATTCATTCATAGTTCAATTGTCTACCCCTCTCCTCTTGTCTGAAAGTTTGAATTCATTGTTTTGTGGAAATGAAAATGAAGTTTTCTTTATTCCCCGTTTTTTTTTTTTTTAATGGTGATATGTATTTTATTCAAATTATTTAAAATGGAATGAAAAAATACCATCAATCTTTTAGTTTCTGACATTATGCGTGATCAATTTAATTTAATATAACTTCGTGAATGTGTTTAATTTATCGTAAAATGTATTTTTATTTTTTATTTATTTCATTTCATTTCAGCAATTATATATATATATATAATTTATAATCACTTACTTGTTATGAAATTTTAGAAAAAAAAAGATAAATAATTTAGTAAATCTTTTTAACAATTTATAATCACTTACTTGTTATGAAGTGAATAGTATTTATTTTACTTTTGAAAATAACAATATGTCTTTTGAGTTGTAATTGTAAAATAATATTAGTAATTATTATAATTATGGAATAATTAATTAAGTTATGGAGTGATAAGTTAGGTTATTACGGTATAATAAATAAAAATATTTAATAGTTTGTAACTTGCAGTATAATTACAGTGTGTTCAAATGATGGTAGCGAACCCCAATTATTTAATGGTAAGCTAAAAAATAAACAGTCAAAAACTACATTTAATTAAACAATTTATTTATTTATTTATTTTTACCGTTTTAAATGTCATTCTAAGCGTATCGCTAGAGCGAGCATTTCCCCCAACTGACATGCTTTTGCCTTATAAATTTTTTTATTTTTTATTTATGTATATATACATTTTGTTTTAATTTTTGTTTGAGTTCATATTATATTATGATTTTCAGTTCACACTTTGAAACCCTATAAGCTATAGGATAGGTACTAATCCAGAAAGTTGTTCTAGTAATTAAGAAATTTTTTTGTTTAGTAATTTAGAAAGTTTATCATCTCTCTTAATTAGTAATTGAATTCAAGTATTTAAGGTTAGTATACAAAAACTATTAATTTTTTTTAAATATTACTAAAGTGATAAAAAAATAAATACACTTTTAATATTATTTAGAAAAAAAATAATTTCATCTCGATTGATATGTAAATTAATTCAAAAAAATATTTTTACGCTAGTGTGTTTGATAAACTATTTAAGTAGCTTAAAAAATTAAATTGTAGTGCTTAATATAAAAAGTTTGTTTGATAATCTAAACAATCTCATATTTAAAATTTAAATTCAGTCAAAATCTACTCGAATTAGATAAGTTAAAGTTTTAAACTTAAAATTTTTTTATTAATACGCTCGGTTGAGAGATTTTTAAAACTTTTTAAATATAATTATATAACCCTCGTGTATCCTTATAACCCTAACTATATTTGATTTTTGGCCAAAATCATTAATTGGTTCATTATTAGGATCTTTTAGCAACATTCCATCCACCGTTTAGCCATCAAGGCAAAACAGAAACAACAATTTATCAAGTTGATTTCTCAAGCCAAGTTCTTTCCGGATCTGGAGAAACTTTCTTGTGGGTGGAGAATCAAATCCAGATTAGCAGGTAGCAAAGAGTAACTTTCTTTGAACCAGGATATGTACCGTGAACCTCGTTAAGCGAAACTGCTCCAAAAGCTATAATTGCCTGTAATCTAACCTTGAACCAGGACATGTACAGCTTGAACTCTTTTATCACTGTACCATTCCTCTGGGAGCTAAATGCAGGTTCCCATGCAGGCAATACAGGAATGCTTGACATATAACTCTTTTATCACACTGCTCCACAAAGTAAAAAGTCTAATCTATATGCCTTTGTCCAAACATTTAACTTACCATTGTTCCACTAAATCAAAACCACTGGCTATCACTGTAGAAACTAAAGATACAAAGCTATGATATATATTGGAAATAAAAATAAAAAAACGGAAAAAATCTCTGTTAGAGAATACGTTGGCTATGCTTTCTTCCCTACCAGGCAAATGATTCGCATTGCATGCACTCATTTTCACCTTTTCTGCACTTAGTTTTAAAACGTGTAGTCACAGTTGGTGCATGTAAATCTTGGATTTTAAAACTTTTTGATTCACCCATATACATTTGCAGTTCACAGAGAGAGAGAGAGAGAGAGAGAGAGAGATTATTTTTGCATGTATTGCAGTACATAATTATCTTCAAAAAGCAATAATTACTGTCAATCATGTGATGTATGAAATACTAAATATTGTTGCAAATTTACCATTCATCGGAGGAAGAGTGCAAGTATGAACTAATCAAATATTTATGATTAATTAGCAAGATCAAATTGTAAATGAATTGATTAATACTTGAGATTTCATTTATTTTATGCACGATATGACAATTAATGCTATCTTAGATCATGTTTAATTTTTTTTATTAATAATTAATTTTTATTTATTTATTTATACACATAAACATATCTATGTATATATTTGTATTTGTATTTAAAAAAAATAATGTTACAATTACAAAGTTAAAATTATCATATATATAGTTTTAATATGTTCAACAACAATACTCATCAAATAATCTTTTTATATTCAGATCTTAATTTTTAGAAATAACAAACAGCTTACCAAGTAACATATTCAATATTTAATTATTCAGTACTTAATAGATTCCATATTTAATTTCAAATTCTACCAAACAACACAATTAAAAAAAAAAATTACGGGACTCGCATTGTAAACGATCATTCTGAATCCTTGGATTTCAAATTAGATGGAAAAAAGGTTTCGCCCGTGTGCAGAATGGGAACACGAGTGTGAGACACAAGGCGCCAAAGCTACTTTTATCTTCTGCTCCTCCTCCTCCTCCTCCTCCTCGTCATCATCTTCCTTCCTCTGTACTTACAAAATCCCTTTCTGTTCTATCCATCCACAGACCACAGAGCAGCCACTCAACTCCTCCTTCTTTCTAGGAAACAATCTGCTTATCAATTAACAACTTCAAGTTTTCCTGTTAAATGTCAAAACTACCCAAATTGCCACTCCCTATTTACAACCAGCTTCTCAGGACCAATGCCTTCTTCTTCTTCTTCATTTCTTCTTCAACACTACAGGTTCATCATGATTATGGACATCTCCTCGGAGGCTCGGCCAAACCTCCACCCCCACCTCCACCCCCACGCACGCCCTCATGCCACAGGTCTCAGTTTTCACCGTAACTTACTACTAATTAATTATTACTATTGTTTTAGGGGTTCTCAGAAGCAGCTTCCAATTATTTTCCTCTTTAATTGAAGCAGGCATGGCTTATCTCGAAGTAATGTTGCCTTTAAATTCGTCCGGAACCCTCCTCCTCTTCCTCCACCCACCCTTGCTGTGTCTGCAAATAAAGGTTAATCTTTGTTTTCAAATTTCAGTAAATTATGTATGTAATGTCAATTATAGGTATTGTTGTTCGGCATAATCCTTTCAGCAAATAGTTTAGGAGGAATGACTGATGTGATTTTTATTTCTCAGGCAATTATTCAACCACTGTTTGTCGAGGATTATGTGAACTAGTTTGGACTGTAGAAGCTGATTTGGCAGCTGGTCAGCTTCTCTACATTACCGGGGATCCTGTTGTCTTAGGCAGTTGGGATCCGGAAATGGCTATCTTAATGCATCCCACTTCACGTCCAAACTTGTGGGAAGCTCAAATCATGGTAATTTCTCACTGGAATTTGAATCATAGATAAGATGTGAAGAATGGATATCTCATTTGCCGACGCGAAAATTCTTTAAAACCCCCGATATGACAGCTAAGTATCAGATAGTTTCCTTTTGTTTTATTGATTGTTCATTTTAATTGCATAAGCATTCAAAATTTTATTTATTGAAGAAAAACATTTCTCTTAAACCTTTTCATTTTTATATAGTAGTGACTAGTTCGTTTATTTCTATCTGGATCCTATTTCTTGTACAGGAAAAAGAATGACAAACCATTAGAATTGATCAATATTTTTGTCTTCAGAATGAATTGGAGCACCAACAATTTCTCTTCTTAAAAATAAGTAGTACATGACAGTATGCTCCTTACTTGTTCACATGAATTTGGTATGAGATACTTTATCAATTCTCATTTCTGCTCTCGCTTCTGATTATCCTAAATCCCCATTTTGTGCTTGGCAGATACCTTCTGGTGTAAATTTCAAGTATAATTATTTTGTAAAAGAAGAAACATGGCCTTCATGTAACGTCCTTTGGAGAACTGGACCTGAATTTTCTTTATCAGTACCTGTGACCGTAAAACAAAATAGAAAAATTATGGTGAGGGATTCATGGACTAAGTTTAATACTGAGAGGTCTCCGGATTATGTATGGGGTTCATGGATAGAGGAGAAATATCAACCCTTGCAACCTTCAAATTGTGCTCCAATCAAAGGTAATATCCACATCTTGGCAACCTAGTATATCTAACTTCCTCCTTAAAATGTTTCTGAACACTCAAATGCTTCCAGTGCTTTGACAGATGAACAAGAGATTGTGAAACACCACCAGACTAATTTAAAAGAGCCAAAGCCGTTCCTGAATGATCTCAAAGTCGATGACAGCCCAAACGCAGTTTTCTCTGAAAGAAACCAACCTCTTGAGGAACCCTGGTTACTCCAGTCACCTGTTATCTTTCTTGTCTCTAAGGACAAGTTGACACAAGATGTGTCCAAAAAGAGGGACACTGTAGAAGATGGTCAGACAAAATTCAATGTTAATGATCAGCATTTACAAGTGAAAGACAAGTTGTCTGCTAATGGGAGTAGTCTGAATTTGAAGGATGATTCAGTTGCTACTGTTATACTGATTAATTCTTCAATATGTACAATGCAAAGGATAGCTGTATTGGAAGATGAGAAACTGGTTGAATTACTTCTGGAACCAGTGAAAGACACTGTGCAGTGTGACAGTGTGTATATAGGGGTGGTTACAAAACTTGTCCCCCACATGGGTGGTGCATTTGTAAACATTGGGAGTTCAAGACCTTCTCTTATGGACATAAAGCAAAACAGGGAACCGTTCATATTCCCTCCATTTCGTTTGGGCACAAAGAAAGGAGAAGTCAATGGCTCTGTGCTCAAAGCCTTTGAAGAGCATCCTGCTGCCCACGAAAATGAACACACAGCACATGATGTTGAAGTCATTGATGATATTTCAGAATTTGTCTTTAACGGTGATTTGGCACCGTTTCTGCATGATGATCACGAGGAGCATGAAGTTGAAGAAGATTTTGATGTTTCAGAAGTTAAGGAAAATGTTAATGGTAGTATAGTTGATTATGGTGAAGTGGATGCTGACTTTAAGCATTTCCTGGATGGAAGGGAGCACCATTTGGAAGGTGATACTGTCAACAGTTCTCCAGTTGAAATAAAGGGATCTAACTATCCTCCAGTATCTCATCAAGATACAAAGGATGCTAAGCATACATTAACTAGTGAAAACAAGTGGTCCCAAATTCGTAAAGGCACGAAAGTTATTGTTCAAGTTGTCAAGGAGGGATTGGGTACAAAAGGCCCTACTGTGACTGCTTATCCGAAACTAAGAAGCAGATTCTGGGTATGTTCTGTCTAGCAAAACGCACCCCGTTTGCCATTAAGTGCTTCTATTATTTTAATTTTAATTTCCCTCCAAATCTGTCATATGTTGAACTCACTGTACTGTTTGTTTTCCTGACTTTTTTTTTTTTTTGAAGATATTGAGTACTCGTTGCGATAGAATTGGGGTCTCCAAAAAAATTTCTGGTGTGGAGCGTACACGCCTCAAAGTTATAGCAAAAACTTTGCAGCCACCAGGCTTTGGTCTAACTGTAAGGACTGTTGCTGCTGGTCATTCATTTGAGGAATTGCAGAAGGACTTGGAAGGTTTGCTTTCAAATTGGAAAAGTATAATGGAACATGCAAAATCTGCTGCTCTTGCTGAAGATGAAGGTGTGGAAGGGGCCATTCCTGTTTTACTGCACAGGGCCATGGGTCAAACTCTCTCTGTTGTCCAGGATTATTTTAATGAAAAGGTGATGTACTTGCTTATTGTAACTCCTCACCCGTTTTTTCTATCTGATGATTAACTATGTGTCAAAACTTCACACAATGAATTCGTGCTTTATTATACTTCATCTCCAGGTAAAGAAAATGGTGGTGGATTCTCCGAGGACATATCACGAGGTATGCCATCTGATGTATATAGAAGAGGACTTCCTTACTGATTGGGAATCTATGGACACACATGCTTTCTCATTATTTTTTCCCTAGGCGGCTAATTGACTGGAAAGGGGTGAATGCCTGGATACTAGTTATTTTTGTCTGCATGGATATAGGTTTGCATTATGTTAGGGCAAATGTTTGGTCAAATATATTCAACAGAGGAGGATTCTTTAAATTTCATATCCTATTATCTAACTTCTAATATTTAGAGAGGTTAAGAAGTGAGAGTTAATTCCAAACAGCTATAGTTGTCAATAACTTGCTTGCATCTAATTGATAAACCTAACATTAATCAATTTTCTTCAATTAAGAAAGAAAAGTACTATATCAAGTTACTATCTTTCTTTATCTTTATTTTATTGGAATGCCATAATATAGTCAATCTCTGGCAATTTAATTATAGAGGTGACAGCTTTTTCTTTTTTGCAATGAAATATATAAAGTCACTTTTGCATGCTTTTTTTCCCAGGTTACAAACTACCTTCAGGAAATTGCTCCTGATCTTTGTGGTCGAGTAGAGTTGCATGATAAAAGAATTCCTCTTTTTGATGAATTCAAAATTGAAGAAGAGATCAATAATATCCTTAGTAAAAGGTGAGGATTCATTGATGTCACTTATTGTGTCATGTATTTTTTGTGGCTGGTTCATGGTAAGGTTTGTTAGGATAGGGCTCTTAGACACTGTAATTCTTAAATAGCTTCTCCTTCGACTTAAAGGTTCTTCCTTTAAGCTCAAGATCTCTCATAGTTAGCTTTGACACAAGCCTTAATGTGTAATGAGTTGAAAAATCATGATACTGTTAAGTGGGTTACACCGGCTATTGATAACCATTTCAAATCACCGGTTACCATAAAATGGCTAATAATCTATATATGTTGTTATGCATCAACATAGCCTACCATGTCTATTGAGTTTAGCAGTATCTTTTTTCTGATGCTATTGATGTCAATTGCATCTCTTTTCTTCAGGGTTCCTCTTTCTAATGGAGGTTCTCTGGTGATTGAACAAACGGAGGCATTAGTCTCAATTGATGTGAATGGGGGACATGTAATGCTTCGCCAAAGGACTTCACAAGAGAAAGCCATTCTAGATGTAAATCTTGCAGCTGCAAAACAAGTATGTCAGACACTGAAAATGACCACCACTTTATATAAATAATCTTTGTGCTTGGTACAAATGGGTTAGTTTCTTCATTGGCATTTATGTTCCTACTGGCATAATTGATTATGTATCCTGAAATTCTTTCTGTAGTTCAATTATATCAGTTGATTTCTCTCTGTTTAAAAGTGCAAAGATCTCTTACTATTTTTGAGGTTTTCATCCATTCCATTCAAATTAATTTTGAACATCTATTGGTAATTGCATTGTCATGGTGGTTACCAAAAGCAATTTATAGAAATGACTCTCTTTTCTGTTGCTTAATCAGTGCTGTGAACTCAGTCAAGAAACTAACACAGCCTGAGAAGTGAATTTTAGCATTTGCTATTGGAGGGGGTCGAAAGGAAAAATGAATAGTTTGTGTATTTGTGCATGTGTGATTCGAATTGGTTATGTTTGATGATTTATTATTAAGATAAACTATCTGATTACGCTGTCTATACTTTGTTCCAGTAAACCCTTGCATCTGTAGTTTTTTAATAGAAATTATGCATTTCAGATTGCAAGGGAGTTACGGCTGAGAGATATTGGTGGTATTATTGTAGTAGACTTCATAGATATGGCAGATGAATGTAAGTTGAATTCATTTAGTCTGTTTCCTTGCATATCAAATACCTTAGGATCCAGGGTAATAGATGCAGTAGTTAGACCTGCAATATCCAATTTGGAGATTATCTTGAAATATGCAATATCAATTTGTGATTTTCAAACAATATTGTATTTCATTCTGTTACACGAGCAAATAAACCACTTCCATCATGGTAGATAGGAGTTTTGCACTGATGATGATTGTGATAGTTTAAGACATTTACCTGTTTCTACTAGAGAAAATGTTTAGTTTTCCAATTTTGCTATATTACTACTGTGATGTAGAAATCAAAACCAAAGGAAATTCCTGATTGTTACCAGCATGCTCTGCTAGTAGAATAGGGGCTTTTGCACTAATCTAGTTCAAATGTTCTCCAGTTCACCTGGTATACACGTGAGAATAAAGGAAAGAGTTGTCCAATGAACTATACACTAAACTTGAATAATAGGTCTCAGATACCTTTTTCACTGAGATTAGTTTGCTAGGGCAAACACTTTCTTAATAAGCTCTTGGCAAGCTCTTTTCAAAGAGTGAATCAATTATATTTGATAAAGGGATAGTTTAAAAGAAACATTGTGCTCTCTGAGATTTATGTTTCATAGCGTTTACTACTTAGGAGATCCTTTGCCAAACATAATAAGGATTAGGGTGAATTGCTGTTGTAATACCTTTAGTGAGACATTTGCAATCTGCTCTTTTCTGAAGTTATTCAAATTTCCTCTATGAGCAGTTCAGGAGAAATATCCTGCTTTCTGTGATTATTATGCAAAGTGGATACCTTTTTAGTTTGCCCCTTATGCTTTGCAGCAAATAAGAGACTAGTTTATGAAGCAGTGAAGAGAGCAGTTGAGAGAGACCGGTCAACAGTGAAGGTCTCTGAACTGTCAAATCATGGACTAATGGAAATAACAAGAAAGAGGGTATGTCCTGCTACTGTAAATGGTTATCATCTCTAAGCCTTGCTAACACCAATCAAAGACACACAACTGATCCTTGTCCCAAATTATTGAGATTGAACAAAATTCTGCGATGAAACATATGCAGCAATATCTCTATTTATGAGCAGATCCACTGAAACTGATATGGAATATCTTGGCAAAGATAATTGAACTCCTTATATTTTATTTGGATGTGATGATGTTTTGGCTTGGTCATAGAAACTAGTTCAACTGATATTTTGACTTTTATATCTGTTAATGCACAATGTTGGACAGGTTCGACCCAGTGTGACATTTATGGTTAGTGAACCATGCACCTGCTGTCATGCTACTGGCAGAGTTGAAGCCTTAGAAACCTCCTTTTCTAAGATTGAACAAGAAATTTGCCGTTTGCTTGTAAGTGTAGTTTTTAGTATCAAATTATTACCTGTTCTTATCAAGCCTCCATTGCTCTGTGGGTGTGGCGTGGCAACACTTTGTTGCACCCTGGTTCAAGACCCCCCAAAAAGCCATTGACCAAAGTCAAGGTCTTAAATTGGACCTTGTGAAAGTCCTAACTCGTAAGTCTGGGTGGCTCTTTTGGAGGGGTTGGTTAGACTACTAGTGGACTAGTTCTTGGTTAGTTGGAAAGCAGGAAATTCCCAAACAAGATGAAACTAACACTTGCAAAAAGTTGGACGACAAAGGATCAAAATGAAATTATTTATTATATAGTTTCTATTATTACTGCTGTTTCTCTCTTTTTTTTTCCAGGCAATGATGGACCAGAAGGCAGATCATGAAAACCCGAAGACCTGGCCAAGATTTATATTAAGGGTTGACCATCACATGTGTAACTACTTAACTTCGGGAAAAAGGACAAGGCTTGCTGTATTGAGTAGTTCCCTCAAAGCTTGGATTCTTTTGAAGGTATGCTCAACCTGGGAGCATTTTCCATATTCCTCTTTTCGAAACTTTCACTAGTTAGAGCTGTGGGTTCTTCACTTTGTCCAAGACATTGTTGAAAATGAGTTTCTGCTGGCGTTGTAGCATTATAATAGCCTACATGCGTTTTGGCCTCTGGTTTCATCTTTTAATTTTAGGAAATGGGGCTGTCCTTCTATCTTCAACTTCCAACAAAATTGATCTGTTTGTAGGAGATATGCATGTATGTCTGATCGATATAACCATATAAAATCACATAAATTATGGTGTTAAATATAAACCATGGCCAAGCTACATCTTAAAATTAGCTAGGACACAAAGGAATGAAAGAACTATCTCTCCACCAAGTTTCCTTTTGAGGTTTCAATTGTAATTTGCAATACTCTCTTGCACATGTAATGAATAGCTTGTTTATCTGCAGCAAAGCAGCATACCAAGTGAATGCAGGATAGAACTTTTTGAAGTGTCAAGTCACTATGAGTATAGCTTGTTGATCTGAGGTTAAAATTAGCTTGTTTTGAAGTTCCAATTTTTCTTGCCGAATTGTAGACTATGAGTATAGCTCCTTAGAGGTTGATCTTTGCAAATATTCTATTCTTAATGTAAAATTCGTAAATGCTAATGCCAACTTCTCAGGTTGCTAGAGGTTTTACCAGAGGAGCATTTGAGGTGAAGCTCTTTACAGATGACAAAACAAACAAATCTCAGCAACAGGTTGCTATATCAGTGCTACGGCCAGCAGAGGCCGGAGCTAAAAAGTCTGGAAAGAAAGTAACACTTGTTCCCGTGAAGAAAGGAAAGGCTGGTCGCAAATAAAGTTCCCATCAGATTTTCCATTTTCTGTACTAACAGGCAGTTCTTTGTATAATGTAGTTCTTTTTTTTTTTGCTCACAAAAAAAAAAAAAAAAACTGTATTGAGATAGAAAGAAGGGCGAAATGTATATTTTGTGCTAGCATTTGGTGCCCCCCTTGGTTGATGGTGGGCATAATGTCTTGAGCGTAGTTCATAGGCAATTCCTATCTGCTTTGCATTGTAATATTGCATTCCAACCAATTTTGTTGAAATACCTTTTATTTTCTTTCTTTTGCGTTTCATGTAATATTAATCATAGAAATTCAGAAGCTAGTATTCTTTTGTTGCCGTTCACTGAATAAAGAATTCTCCTATTTACTAACAGCTAATGCTCAAGAGCAGTGCAACTTGACCTGACCTCTTCTTCTTCTTCTTTGATTCAGAAGCTAAATATTAACTGACATGGCTCTGATTCCTAACTTGCTGGGAGACTATCAAAATATGTTGACCATATTCCGATGACGCATGCAGTTTCAATCGAAGTAATCAGCTAGTTGAGCCCTTCATTAACTGATGCAAATACTTAGCTGGACATTTTCTTGCTCTTTTTTTTTTTAAATAAAAAATTTGGATCGGTTTTACCCTAAATTTGTTATTCCTTGCATGCGGCACATCTTGATCCATAATAGATAAAAAAGAAAAAAAGAACTCTTTTTTTTTTTTTTTTTTGGGTGCTATGGTTAAGAGCAGAAAAGCTAGCTTCTACAGAAACACAAAATAGTAAGACACTATCTTCCTGAATAGAAAGGTGCATAGTAACTCTTTTTTTGGGGTGCTATGGATAAGAGCAGAAAAGCTAGCTCCTACAGAAACACAAAATAGTAAGACACTAGGACTATCTTCCTGAATTGAGCCTATCTTGGCTGGCTGAGATTTCTGCACAAGAACTGCCTTCACACAAATCATACTGTGAATACTGCAACACAGGATGTGGATGGCTTCAAGAGAATCTGATTCTACATTCAAGCTACTAAAATTGAACTCTCCAGTAAGTAGAAGATCTGCTGCTAACAAAGATGTTTTGACTTAGAAATGCTATCACAAGAAGGCCCACGATATCCCATGCTCCCGGCCATGATAAGGTGCACTGGGTGTTTGACAAGCAAGAAGCATGTCAAGCGAGTAAATACAGTAGCCATCAGAGATATCAAAACAGTCTGGTTTAGCCCTGCAACGTTTGGCATGAACCTGGTCTTTTTTTGGATCTAAAATTTCAAGTTTACAAAAATTATCAATCCAAAATCATAAGATCAGCTAAAGCCACATGAAATGACACCCGCTAACATATAGTAAATGAAAAACCACATTCCCATCCTGATTCTTGTCTACTTGAATTGCCACAAAACACACTACATTGGAAATATCACACGACCATGAGCAGGATCCAAACGATTCTCTAATAGCAAAAAAAAACAATCTTGAGTAGCAAATATTATCTCTGACAAGGTGAGAAAGACATAGCATGATTGCTTACAAAGAGAATGGAATAAAACAAGAACAAGTAATGAAACACTGATGATACTAGCTGACATTGTTCTACATTTTACAAAACTCATGCCAGAAATAACAAATGAGGTTTGGAGTTCCTAGAAGCAACAAAGATAATTCTAAAAGTACAAGTGGATATACCCCAATGTCGGTCTCATCAGGGAAGTTTCTGAATCTGTGTACGACAATTAACTGGAAGCAGCACTGCAGGTGTTAATACCATCTTTGCAATCGTTTGTGAGATCATTGAAAGTCTCAATCTGCTTTTTTCCTCTCAAGAAGACTTCTGTGTCGATAGAAATCCTCATGTAACCATCAAATTCAACTGGAACCCCCTTGTTAAGGGCTGTCGTCTCCGAGTACCACTCGCTGTTCTCATCCCAAAGATCTTTGTACTCGTCAAGAAAATGGGTAGTATACTTGTCCTTTAAAGGGTCAAAGAAGGATGTATCAGGCTCATTTGTCGCAATGTAGACATGCCTCCCATCTTCAAGTTTGTTAGCCAAGGTTGAGAGAAGCGCATTAGGTGAGGTATCTGCTGCAAGATTAGGCCACAGCTCCTTGTTCCTTGCTTTCTCCCCTCTCTCAATATGAACAGCATCATAATCCCAGTTCAATTTTGAGGCAATTGCACTCACAATATCCATCAATCTCCTTGACTTCCATATCAGATGCCACGGCCGTTGAATGACAGCCTCAGTCTCTCCTTCACACACTCTATACCAGTAATTATCTGGTTCAACAGATCCAAACTTCCTCATAATCAAAGTATCTTTTATAGTTGTAAGCTTCATCGGTGTGACCCTGAAATCCTCGATGAGATAAAGACTCAACCTATCCTTTTTCTGCCATTTACCCCAATCGTCCCAAAACTGAGACTGGTCCAAAACCGATGCTGCTTCCCTCAAATGCTCAAAATCAAAGTAAAACCTGAAATCTTTTGCTTCCTCATCCTGATTCGAAGAAGTATACATTGAACTCAAACAAATGGACAAATCCATAACCAGTGTCCGATTCAGATACTGTGCTTCACCCAATGCACACAAGAAACTCCACAAGAAATGATTCATACTCTTGCATCTGTCACCTCCACCACTATAAAGCAAATATTTCCCGCGACTAAATGAATTCTCCGACTCAACCACAGGAAGCGAATCATTCACAGTCTCCCCAACAACCTGCAACAACGGTTGTCCCCCTTCTTGTTTCCCTGGTGTTTTCTCAAACCCAGGTTTCTGATTCTTTTTCCTCTTCCTTGCATTCACACCCGAATGATAATCCCCAATCCCCACAATACTAAGCGTACAATTCTCCGATCTAGCAATAACAAAACGCCTATAATCCTTATAAAAAGCAGCAGTCTTGCCTTCCTTGGGCCTAAACCTCCAAGCCATATCACAAGTAGAATCATTAGACCCTAGAACAGGTTTCCCAAACCGATAAAAATGTATATCCTTAAACTCCTCAATCGCCCTTTTCATCAACATATGAAACAATTCAGGATCCCTACAGTCCAAAGGACCTGGACAGCCCTCTAAAGCCCTGGCATCAGGATGAGCATTGGCATTACTGGGTGTGGTGTCAACATCCGTAATGTTGATGAAATTTGAAAAAGCAGTCTGATTCGAGGCCAAGAAATCCTCCCCAGTTTTGACAACAGTGTCATCAGATTTAAAGGTGGCATTGGAGTTAGAAGTGAAGAAATTTGTAATTTTTGTTGAAGGGTGAAACAAAGGGTCCTCGGGCTCGTAAGTAGCAGCGATGATAGTGAAAATGAGGACTCCGACAACAAAGAAAGTGAAGCAGAGATTTCCTATCATAGCTAACGCATTTTGGCCTAAGTTTTCTGGTCTGAAACTTCCCGTTCTCGATAACGTGGACCGACCGAACATTTTTTTCTTCTTTGACTAAAATCTAACAGCTAGCTGCCGAGTAGCAGAAGAAATATAAACTGAATAAAGAGAGATGGGGTGTAGATCTACAAAAGTAAAAGCAATGCGAAGAAGAAGAAAAAGGAGGAAAGTGAGATCTAATCTAATCTAAATATAAATCTAAAAATGATAATGCAGAATTAAATTAAACTCACCTCATTGATTTTCAAGGATGGAAGAAAGGGGGAGATTAAGAAAATTCACAATTTTTTCTCTCTTTTTCGTGATGTGAGGTGAAGAAGGGCGGAAGTAGTAGCAATAGGACTAAGAAGGATGGGACTGTTGTTTGTTTTAAAATAAATAAATAAATAAATAAGTTAGTAATAAGTGATTTAGATTTTCTGAAGTTATAAATTAAAGAAATTATTAATTAAATTAAATTAATTCAAATTAAAAGAAGCAGTAGAAGTATGACGGAAAAGTCGTCTTGTCCACGTGGATGATTGATTCATTGATTTCGTGACTGATCTGTCTTAACGACTTTTGCTTGCATTAATTAAGGACGAAGTATATTATTATTTTTATGGAATATTTATTTGTAGAATTTATACGTATATAAAATATGCATACCAACATGAAGAGGAGAGTGAAGAAGGAAGAAGGACACACCGACAATGGCAAAGTTGTAAAACTATCCCTATCTCTTAGGTTTTTATCTCTCATCTCAATAAATTAATTACCAGAGTTTTCAGTTTTTTTTTTCCAATTTTTAAAGAATGTTATTAAATAAACTTAGACATTAGTCGAAATTAAATTTATTTCAATATGTTTATTTATTAAATCTCTATTTTTGTTGATATATCGAACATGTCCGTTCAAAGTTTATATTTACGTAAAGTAACTTATTAGTAACTCAATGTATTAAATAAGTAAATTTTATTAAATAATTTTTATAAATTTAATTGATATTTTTTTAAGAGTGAAATTTATTAGACAAATTATGTAAGAATGGCATTACTTTTTTTTTAATGTTATACAAATAGGCTTTTATGTTTATATTGTACAATCAAATTTTTTATATAAAGTTTTCATACAAATAAACTTGGCAGTTATTTTTCATAAAAATAAAAACAAAAACTAATTATTTAAATTAAGATTAAAAAAAACCAGTCATTAGACTTACTAGAGTTAATAATAAAATTCACTTATTTAATGCATGAAATATTCATTCAATATTGATATTTATTCATAAAATCTAATCAAACTTACGTTATTGATCCATGAGTGAAGAGGATGTCTAGCAACTAGTAAGATCGCATTCGATTAATATGTCAAGATTATACTTGCATCGACTCAAAGCAACTTCAGCGAAAGAGCATGCAAATATTGTTTGAGTTAAAAAATTTTAGTTGGATTAGTCTTTATGATTATCATATCATCAACATAAATAAAAACAACAACAAAGGAAAGGAACCTTGCTGAGAAAAGGTGAATAATTTTATTTTTATTTTCTTTATTTATTTATTAATGTGAAAACTTGGTACATGAAGATAGACAAATATTAGCAAACTCTTCTACCAATGTATAGGAAGAAAATAAACGAGTTTAGCCCCAACTTTAGAGTACCTATTCTTTTTGAGCAATTGCGTTGATGATTTGAAAAAAAAAAAAAAAAAATTCTCAGATTTGATAGAGGGAAACTAAAAACTGATTGTTTGACATTAAAAAATAAATGCAAAAAAATGGAATAAAACCTATGATTTTTATTTTTACTGCTTTTTATATTGCATGCAGTTATGTAAAGTTATAAATAGCTCACCAAGTGCTTATTTGGCTTAGAAAATAGTGATAGCTAACATACTGGTATAGATTTTAAAAATGGGGATTAGTTTTAAAAGGTTTATGGATTATAAAGTATTATAAATTATTAGTCAATAGAAAAAAAAATCTTTAATATTTTTTTTTATTTTGATATGGGTTTCAATTTTTTTTTTAATTCGCAATTGAGTATTTTTTTTTTTTAATTTTGTTGATGAATTTTCGATGACCTAAGAGATACATTGAGCAATAAAAACAATGACATGTGTCCTAACAATTTTAAATATATGACACATGTTATTGTTGTATTGCCCAATATATCTTTTATATGTGTTCAATGTAATCTGAGATTGATCAAAAAAATGAAAAGTCTTAATTGAAAAAAAAATTAAATTCAAATCAAAATAAAAAAAATAGCTATTTAATAAAAATTCAAAATATTTAATAACCAATTAGTTTAGTTTTTTGTTTTTTAAAAAAAGAAATGGTATACGCTGATTGAGAACAGAAGTTCGTTTGAACCGGAAAAGTCCCAACTCCCAAATGAAGAGGGCACACTCCAATGCCATAGCATTGATTTGGGTTATTTGTCAGGAGTTTGGGCCTAATCCAAAATGGATCATTGTATTTTGAGCCTCTCAATTTTGAGATACTATCATCAACTTGGGTTAGGTTTAGATTTTGGGTTTGGACATTTGTGGGCTTTGGCTTTATTTATGCTTGACTTCATAATTCATCGGAGTTTAGTTGTCAACTCCGCCAATGTGAGAGAAGATTGGAAAGTGGTTAGAAACCATTTATAGTTAGTTTAGGAAGAATATAAAAATTTTAATTATAATGATTCATGCATGGGATAGAATGATAATCTAATTCATATATGGGATAGATATATGGCATCATCAAACCCAGTCACACAATGGTTTCACAGGTTCGAGGAGCATACGTCTGCAGTGAAAGCCCTGGCTTGGTGTCCTTTCCAAGGGAATTTGCTAGCCTCTGGAGGCGGTGGAGCAGATGGATGCATTAAGCTTTGGAATGCGCACACAGGTGCATGCTTGAATTCCATAGACACTGGGTCTCAAGTTTGTGCTCTGTTGTGGAACAAGAATGAGAGGGAACTGCTTAGCTCTCCTGGGTTTACTCAAAATCAACTCGCTCTTTGGAAATATCCATCAATGGTGAAAATGGCTGAGCTCACTGGCCATACCTCTAGAGTCCTTTACATGGCTCAGGTAATAATTCAAGGATTGAAGTACTTGACTTTGTCAATGGAACGGCCTTTGGCTTCTTGCATTTTAACTATGTATTTTTCAGAGTCCGGATGGTTTGTACAGCAGCGGGGGATGAACCACTGAGATTGTGGAATGTTTTTGGAGTTCCAGAACTGGCTGCTAAAGTTGCTCCAAAAGCGAACCCTGAACCATTTTCTCACAACAGCCAAGGTAGATTTTCAGCCAGGTAATAATTTAATCGATTTTTTCATATTTTTTAATCAGTTTTTCAATTTTTTATTTATTAAAAAATTGAAAATTGAAAATTATAAAGTTGCACCAGAACTAGTTTTGTAAAACCATAATTAAATTAATATTATTTTTTTATTTTTTTAACCATAATTAATTTAATATTATTTTTTAAATTGTCTATATATTAAATTAACAAATAGACTTAAAAATATATAAATTAAATATTTTAAATTATTTTTTTTCTAAAATATATTTATAAATTTGTTTTGCAAGACCAATTAACTATTTTCAATTATTTCGCATTTTTTAACCACAATTAATTTAATACTATTTTTCTATTTTTAATTCATTATATATATTATCTATTTATTAAATTTTCAAATAGATTTAAAAATATATAAATTATATAAATTAACTATTTTCAATTATTTTATTTCTAAAAAATATATTATAAATTAGTTTTGCAAAAGAAATTAACTATTTTCAATTCTTTCTCATTTTCTAACAATAATTAATTTAATATTATTTTTCTATTTTTAATTTATTGTATAAATTATCTATTTATTAAATTTTCAAATAGATTGAAAAATATAAAAAGTATATAAACCCTTATTTTAGTTTTGCAAAAGCATAATAAATTTAATATTATTTCCCAAATTTTTATTATTTTTAACCATAATTAATTTAATAATATTTTTCTACTCTTAATTTAGTATATAAATTATCTATTTATTAAATTTTCAAATAGATTCAAAAATGTATAAATTAACTATTTTCAATTATTTCTTTTCTAAAATATATTTATAAATTGGTTTTGTAAAACCAATTAATTATTTTCAATTATTTCTCATGTTTTAACCATAATTAATTTAATATTATTTTTCTATTTTTAAATTATTATATAAATTTTTTATTTATCAAATTTTCAAATAGATTTAAACTATATAAATTATAAACCCTTATTTTAGTTTTACAAAACCCTAATTAATTTAATATTGTTTTCTATTTTATCATTTTTCAAATTATCTATATATTAACTTTGCAAATAGATTTAAAAATATATAAATTTTATACATTCACTATTTTTCAATTATCTTTCATTTCTTAACCACAATTCATTTAATATATTTTTTCTATCTTTAATTTATTATATAAATTATCAATTTATAAAATTTTCAAATAGATTTAAAAATATATAAATTTTAAACCCTTATTTTAGTTTTGCAAAACCATAATTAATTTAATATTATTTTCCTATTTTTTATTTCTTTATATACATATATATTCAATTTGCAAATCGATTTAAAAATATATAAATTATATAAATTCAATATTTCATTTTTTTCAAAACCAATTAACTATTTTTAATTATTTCTCATTTTTTTACCATACATATTTAATATTATTTTTTATATATTAAATAAATTATCTATTTATTAAAATTTCAAATAGATTTTAAAATGTATAAATTATATAAAGTAATTATTTTCAATTATTAGTTCTTCGAAACATATTTATAAATTAGCTTTGCAAAACAAATTAAATATTTTAAATTATTTCTCATCTTTTAACCATAATTAATTTAATATTATCTTATTATTTTCAATTCATGATATAAATGATCTATTTATTGAATTTTCAAATAGATTTGAAAATATATAAATTACATAAATTAACTATTTTAAATTATTTTGTTTCTAAAATATATTCATAAGTTTTGCAAAAAACAAATTAAATATTTTCAATTATTTCTCATTTTTTAACCATCATTATTTTAATATGATTTTTCTATTTTTATTTTACTATGTAAATTATAAATTTATTAAATTTTCAAATAGATTTATAAATATTTAACTTAAATAAATTAAATATTTTAAATTATTTTGTTTCTAAAATATATTTATAAATTTGTTTTGCAAAACCAATTAAATATTTTAAATTATTTTTTCTTTTTTAAAAGATAATTAATTTGATATTATTTTTCTATTTTTAATTTATTATATAAACTAAAAAATTTTAAATTTTTTTAAAAAAATTAAACTATATAAATTATAAAAATAAAATATTTTCAATTATTTTTTTCTAAAATATATTTATAAATTAGTTTTGCAAAATAAATTATATATTTCCAATTATTTCTCATTTGACCACAACTAATTTAATATTATTTTCTATTTTTAATTTATTATATAAATTATCCATTTATTAAATTTAAAAATAGATTTAAAAATATTTAAATCAGATAAATTAAATATTTTCAATTTTTTTCAAAAATATAATAATTATTATTTTTTTTTCAAACCCAAACTATTTTCAATTATTTCTCTTTTTCTAACCATAATTAATTTAAAATTATTTTCCAATTTTTTATATTTTTTTAAATTATCTATATATTAAATTTGAAAATAGATTTGAAATAATATAAATTATATAAATTAACTATTTTCAATTATTTTGTTTCTAAAACATATTTATAAATTAGTTTTGCAAAACTAGTTAACTATTGTAAATTATTTCTCCTTTTTTAAAAAAATTATTATTAATTTAATAATATTTTTCTACTTTTAATTTATTATATAAATTATATAAATTAGCTGCTTTCAATTATTTTGTTCCTAAAATATATTTATAAATTAGTTTTGCAAAACCAATTAACTACTTTCAATTGTCTCTGATTTTTTAACCATAATTAATTTAACATTATTTTTCCATTTTTTATTTATTATTAAAACTATCTATTAAATAAATTTCCAAATATATAAATTATATAAACTGAGGTTTTCCAATTATTTTGTATCTAAAATGTATTTATAAACTAGTTTTGCTAAACCAATTAACTATTTTCAATTATTTCTCATTTTTCAACCACAATAAATTTTATTTTATTTTTGTACTATTGATTTATTATATAAGTTATCTATTTATTAAATTTTTATTAGATTTAAAATATATAAATTATATAAATTAGCTACTTTCAATTATTTTATTTCTAAAATATATTTATAAATTAGTTTTGCAAAACTAGTTAACTATTTTCAACTATTTCTCTTTTTTTATCCATATTTAATTTAATATTATTTTTTATATAATTTATATATTTTAGTTAAATTTTTAAATATATTTAAAAATATATAAATTATATACATTAGCTATTTTCAATTATTTTGTTTCTAAAATGTATTCATAAATTAGTTTTGCAAAACGAGTTAACTATTTTCAATTGTTTCTTGTTTTTTAACCATAATTCATTTAATATTATTTCTCTCTTCTTAATTTATGGTATAAATTTCCTACTTACAAAATTTTCAAACAGTTTTAAATATATATAAGTTAACTATTTTCAATAATTTTATATCTAAAATAGATTTAATAAACAAATTAGTTTTGCTAAACAAATTAACAATTTTAAAGTATTTCTCATTTTTTAACCGTAATAGATTTAATATTATTTTGATATTTTTAATTTATTATATAAATTATGTATTTATTAAAATTTTACATATATTAAAAAATTTATAAATTATAGAATTAAATATTTTATATTATTTTTTTCTAAGATATATTAATAAATTAGTTTTTCAAAACCAATTAACTAATTCCAATTATTTCTCAGTTTTAAACCACAATCAATTTAATATTTTTTTATACTATTAATTTATTACATAATTTATCAATTTATTAAATTTTTATTCGATTTAAAATATATAAATTATATAAATGAGCTATTTTCAATTTTTTTTTCTCAAATATACTTATAAATTAGTTTTGCAAAATCGGCAAACTACTTTAAATTATTTCTCATTTTTTATCCATAATTGATTTAATATTATTTTTCTATTTTTATTTATCATATAAATTGTATATTTATTAAATTTTTTAAAATATTTAAAAATAAATAAATTATATAAATTAGCTATTTTCAATTATTTGTTTTTGTAAAATGCATTTATAAATTATTTTTCCAAAACCAATAAACAATTTTCATCATTTCTCATTTTTTTAACCATAATTAATTTAATATCTTTGCCCTATTTTTAATTTATTGCATAAATTATCTATTCACTGAATTTTTAAACAAAATTTTAAGTTATCAATTTGTTAAATTTTTTAAATATTTAAAATTAAATAAATTCTTTCAATTGGCTACTTTAAATTATTTTGTTTCTAAAATATATTTACAAATTAGTTTTGCAAAACAAGTTAACTATTTTCAATTATTTCTCATTTTTTACCATAATTAATTTAATATTGTGTTTCTATTTTTATTTATTATATAAATGATATATTTATTAAAAAATTTAATAGATTTAAAAATAAATAAATTATATAAATGAGCTATTTTCAATTGTTTTGTTTCTAAAGTACATTTATAAATTAGTTTTGCAAAACTAGTTAAATATTTTTAATTATTTCTCATTTTTTAGCCATAATTAATTTAATATTATTTTGCTATTTTTAATTTATTGTATAGATTTTCTATTTATAAAATTTTCAAATAGATATAAAAATATATAAATTTTTATCCTTATTTTAGTTTTGCAAAACCATAACTAATTTAATATTATGATCCTATTTTTTAGCTTTTTAAATTATCTATATATTAAATTAAAAAATATTTAAATTATATAACTAACTATTTTAAATTATTTATTTTCTAAAATATATTCATAAATTAGTTTTGTAAAATCAATTAACTATTTTCAATTGTTTCTCATTGTTTAACCATAATTAATTTAATATTATTTTTGTACTTTCTAATTTATTGTATAAATTATCTATTTATTAAATTTTGAAATAGATTTTAAAATATATAAATTATATAAATTAACTACTTTCAATATTTTTTTCCAAAATATATTTATAAATTAGTTTGTAAAACCCATCAACGATTTTAAATTATTTTGCATTTTTTAACCATTTTTAATTTAATGTTATTTTTGAATTTTTTATATAAATTATCTATTTATTTAATTTTTAAATAGATTTAAAAAGTATTTCT